GGCCAGCCTGGCCTCAAACTCATAGTAACCCTCCTGCCTCAGCCTCCAAAATGCCAGGATTACAGATGTGTACCACCCCCAGCAAATTATTCTGAATCAACTGTCCTTGGTACTAAAATCAACAAGGGGATAAGTGAGCACGATGGCATACACCTATAATCCCAGCTACTCAGGAGGCTAAAGCAAGAGAATTCCAAATTCAAAATCAGTCTGGGCAACTCAATGAAATCCTGGCTCAAAACAAAACAAAACAAAATGAAGAGCAGGGGTTCAACTCAGTGGCAGAAGCTTAAAGGCTTGGGTTTGATCCCTACTGGTGCACAAAAACTTTTAAATAAGATTTATATAAACCCATAGCCATGCAGGATGGCACACACCTGTAATCCCAGTACTCAAGAGGCTGAGGCAGGAGGATTGTTGGGCGTTCAAGACAAGCCTAGGCTACAAAGTGAGCTCAAGGTCAGCCTGAACTGCACAGCGAGACCCTCCCTCAAAGACAAAAAAAAATTGTATAAACCCAAGGCTGGGCAGGTGCCGGACAGATGTCCTTGCAGAAGTGTTTTCTGTGTGAAGTTGCAGAGGCCTCTACAAGGTGGTGGCTCTGGTGGCTTTCTGAGCTTGCTTTTATTATCAAAGACATGTGCATGAGATTCCCTCTTTCACCACCTTGGCTTTATTTTGTTGTAGTTGTTAGAGTTGGCAAGTGACTATTCTGAAGTCAACAATTTTTACAAAGTAAAAGACAAGTTGAAAAATACCTACAGAGAAAATAATTTAAAAATTAAACAGATTTTTCAAATAACTAAACAGACATTCTGGAAATTTAAAATGCAAAACGAAAGCTTTAAAATCAAAGGGTGTTCAAGAGCAGATCTGCTGCAGATGAGACACTCAGCAAGCTGGCAGGAATGTCAGAGGTCAAAGAGCTTACAACACCGCACAGGGAAAAGAGGACAAGACAGCACAAAACAATTAAACAAGGAGGAGGGTTCAACACACCCAGCATACCAAAGAAGAAAAGGGCACAGGGAAAACAATGTTTTGAGAGAACAGGTGGAATGTGCAAGAATTGATGAAAAATGCCAAACCACAGTTCCATGCAATCTAGCAGCAGCCTAAAGGAGCAGCGCACACCTGTAACCCAGAACTCTAGAAAGCTGAGGCAGGAAGATAGCAAGTCCAAGGCCAGCCTTGGCGACTTAGCTGACCATGACTCAAAGAAAAAAAATGGAAGGGATGAAGGGAGGAAGGAAAGAGAGGGGAGCAGGAAGAAAGGAGGGAGGAATGGACAGGCTGGGTATGTAGCTCAGTGTGAAGGCTCCACGTCCAAACCCCAGTAGTGTCCCCCAAAAGAGGAAATGAAAGGGAGGGAGAGGAAGAGAAAAGTCCAGTGAAATATAATTCAGCCATTACAAATCTTTTTGTGGCAACATGGGTGAGCCTAGAGAACATTATGTAAGTGAAATAAGCCAAGCACTAATGAAAAATAAAGGATGCATGATTTCGCTAATTTGTGGACACTAAAAAAAGTCAATCTCATAGGAGAATGCTGGTTACCACAGGGAAGGCAGTGAGCTGGGGAGAACTTAGACAAGGAGTACGAAGTTACAGATAGTAGGAATATACTCTAGTGTTTTATTGCACAGTACAGTGAATACGGTCAATAACATACTGTGTATTATTAATATACTTTATTAAAAGTAGCTTTCTGACAACAAAGAAATGATGCCTGAAGTAATGAATATGCAAATTACTCAAATATGACTACATACTGTAAACACACTATGTCCCACAAACATGGATAATCATGTGTCATTTAAAAATTAAAATATGGGGCCAGGGACATAGCTCAGCAGCACAGAGCCGGCCTAGCAAATACAAGGCTCTAAATTTGATTCCCAGTACCAAAAAAAAATTAAAATATAAACAACCCAGCCATGAATAGGCATGCTTGTAATCCCAGCACTCTAGTAGGCTGAGACAGGAGGAAGAGAGGATCATATATTTGAGGCTGGCCTGGGTTACTTAGCGAGACTCTGTGTCAATGGTTAAAAAAAAAAAAAAAAAAGAGGGGGCCTGTTTTGAGACAGGGTCTCACTATGTAGGCCAGGTTGGCCTCAATCCACAGTAATCCCCTACTCATGCTGATGCTATCACACTTAGCAATAAAAAAAAAAAAAAATTTTTTTTTAAAGAGCTGGGGATGTGGGGCTGGGGATTTAGCTCAGCGGCATAAGCGCCTGCCTTGCAAGCAGGCAGTCGTGAGTTCGAATCCTGGTACCGATAAAAAGGAAAAAGACAAAAAAAAAAAAAAGAGCTGGGGATGTAGTTCACCGTGAAGGCTCTATTTCCATAAATAGCACCATAAAGTCAGTAGATAGGCAGACAAGAGGAGAACGGTAAGGAGTGGTAATGGTCCAGGTGGGAGAAGAAAGCAACAGAATCACTGAGAAGGAGCTCTGACAACCGAATTAATGAAGGCCAGCATTTATGTAATTCCCCGAATTCTACTTTATTTCTTAAAGAATGCAAGGCAGTCTACCTAAGATTCAAAGAATGAAATCCAATAAAATAAATTAAAAATTGGAAGCGTAAAGCAGCAAGAAATAGAAAAGGAAAGTAAGCTGGAAACAATACTCAGATTTGTTCCCCAAATGCGTGCTACACATTCCTATCTCCTTGCTCGAGTGAACCACAAATTTGGCTTCAAATATTTAGCAACCACACAATGCAGGAAATAGTCAAACAAGATTTTTAGTAAAAAACATACAGTTGCTCAGGAAAAACTGTTCCTAAAAGAGGTAACAGATTAGCAGTGAATTAAACATCTGTAACCTATGCTTACAAATATCCAGTGACATATCTTAGAGGACCAAAGTATAATTCACCAAAAATAACTCCAGGAAAATCCAGGAAACATCAATTATAAGCCAGGTGTGTGGCTCGCCCCAGAGGAGGTTTTAGGGGAATGGGTGGTCTACATATACTTTAGAAAAATCTTCAAAACATGTTTGGCTCAGTCGACTTCTGAAAGCAGTGGTGCTAAGGGTGTTTTCCTGACAGGTAAGTGCCTACACTGTGTGAATAAACAGGCACAGAGCCACCTACCACATCACCAATTAAGCCAGGACAGTGGCACAGGCACTCATGAAAACTGGGCAGGCAGGCATCTTCCATCTCACTCGCAGGGCACAAGCCAGGACACCTGCTGTTCTACAAAGCAGACACACTCTAAAGTGGATTAACTGGGGGCAGGGGGTAGATTTAACTGAGAATCTCAATAAAGAAAAAAACACAGGGACATGGTACAATGGACGAAGCTCACGGAAAGAGGCCCAAGATGCCTAGCAAGTTCTGAATGGGAGAGAACAAAAACGCTGTAACAAACAATCAGGCAAACAAATTTTGAAAGAAACAGACAAAATTTTTGAATACTTGGGTGGTAATGTCTTAAGGAAAGACAGGACTGAAGATCACCAAACAGGTTAAGGGTAGAACGGCAAATTTAGTAGTGTGTACAGGGATAACAACTGAAGTCACTAAGTAGCTCTAATTCCCAAATGACCAAAGTCCCTTTGCCTCAAACCTCTGCCCCAACACAAGGAACCAGAACCCACAACAAGAGATAGCACTGGAAAGACGTACACAGCTGTAACACCAAGAACAGCTTATATTCCAAAGTGATCCAATTACGGGGAGCACATCCACAACAGCACGCACAGTTTGCCTCAAAGACAAATGCAGCTCTGCGTGGTAGTGCTCCCCGGGAAGCACAGACCCCCAGGAGGTCAAAGCCGACGACTGCACATGCAAGCCCAGATGGATAAGAGATACTCGGTCTCAAAACTTAAAAAAGGAAGGGGTTGCAGGATAGGGATGTAGCACAATGCAAAGGCTCTGGGTTGGATATCTGATAGCACAGGAAAAAAAAAAGGAGAGGGAAGCAGGCTGGGAAGGAGGGAAAAAGGGAAGAAGGCAAGGAGAGAGAGAGAAGGAAGACAGAGGAAAGGAAGAAAAGGAAGGAAGGGAAAGGAAGAAAGGGAGATGGAAGGAAGGAAGACAAATGTGCAGACTCAGATCCCACTACTAGACACTGGAAAAGAATTACATTGTCTGGCTTCTATATAGAAAATGACAATTTGTTTACAAAGTAAATGGTATCTACTCCTCATTTTATATGTAAGAACACACAGGTACACACTTAAAATTCCCTGAGGGGCTAGGGATATAGCTCCGTGGCACAAATGCCTGCCTGGCAAGTGCAAGGTCCTGAGTTCAATTCCCAGTACCAAAAAAAAAAAAAAATTTCCCTGAGCAATGAGGATTTATTAAGTCTGTCTAAAATAGTCCTTACAGATTTTTTTTAGTTAAAAAAAATACTTCCTTAAATTAGTCAGGCATAGTGGTGCATGCCTATAATCCCAGCACTTGGGAGGCTGGGTAGGATTGTTGCAAATTCAAGACCAGCCTGGGCTACAAAGTGAGCTCAAGGCCAGCCTGAACTATATAGTAGTGAGATCCTGCCTCAAAAGGACCCAAAAAAAAAAGTTCCTTAAGTTAAGACTTAGGAGGAATAAAGTCAAAGATTTGCGTGTCTGAGGAACCAAAGCTATATTCCTATGACAGCAGAGACAGAAGTTTCTTTCTCAAAAGAAATGCATTAAAAAAAAAAAAAATATATATATATATATATATATGCAGAGAGAGAGAGAGAGAGAGAGAGAGAGAGAGAGAGAGAGAGAAAGAAAGAAAGAAAGAAAGAAAGAAAGAAAGAAAGAAAGAAATGCATGATTAGGGATACCCAAAAGGCTCACCAACTTCTAGAAACAAGTACCTGCTTGGCAAATGCGAGGTCGTGAGTTTGATCTCTGGCACAAAGAAAGGGGGGGGGGGGGAATAAAAAGAGCACGGAGATGCAATCCTCAGATACACATGGAGTAAGTTAGGGACTGTGGTGACTTCAATATAAACTGACAAAGAAAGGGAAAACATGAACTTACTCTTTTCAATGAGCTGGTCCTGAACTCCTGCCAGTGCACTTACTGCCTGAAAGAAAAGCCACTGGTTACTAGAAAAGTGCCCACAGACCTCAGGAGGCCACTCCCAGACAGGAAGGAAGGGGAAGGACAACACACCCCTCAGCAGCAGGCCACAGAAAGACGCCCTGCGCCAGGGCACTTACGGCTGCCGACGTGACTGAGGATTTACTGAAGAGCCGCTCAGCCTCCTTGAACTTGCGGTTCCTCCGGTCGTTTTTGCTGTTGGAGTTTCTAAACACGCAGGAGAAACCCACTGTCAGCATCAAGTCACGCCTGGGGTTTAACCCGGGGACACCCTGCACGGGGTGAGGAACTCAACTCTCTTGCTTTCTAGCCCGATCTCACACAGAAATGCCTCCACTTGGACTGACCCCGACAACCTCCTTGCCAAATGCCCACAGACAGAGGTAAGAGGGGTGTGGCGAGATTATTTCAGGTGCTTCACAAACATTTTTGTTTCATTTATTTTCCTTTTAAGGGACTAGGGGGCCCCAGGAAGGTGACAGGCCATCAGAATATAAGGCAACAACACTCCCCAGTCCAAACCCCTCCTCACGCTATCTTAACAGGCATTTATTTTAATGCTTATTATTAAAAATGACTAGCGAAGCCAGGCATACTGGCACATGCCTATAATCCCAGGACTCAGGAGCTGAGGCAGGAAGAGCACTGCCAAGTTGAAAACTAATCTGAACTACATAACAAGACCCTGTCTCATCAGGCTTCTCTGGAGAAACACAGGCTCTGATGATAGCTATGGAGGTGAAATGCAATTGGATGCCTGTGGTGCTTTGCTGTTTGACATCTAAGGGGGACCTTCTGAGGGTTGCAGCATTGTTGATTCCCTGTGGTCTTGTTTTGGAAGTCCTATATCGTTTCCATTGTTTCGTTGAGTTCGGTTTTATTCTCTTTTGTTTTGTTTGATTATGTCAAATCCGATGGCAGGAGCAGCTATTTCAATGATAGCAAGATATATCATGATGTAATTTGGGATTTACTGTAGGCTTGTTTTGAAGTCCTTTACTGCATTGATTGTCCTGTTTTTATTGTTGCTCTTCTGTTCTGTTTGATTTTCACTATGTCTGAAGTTAACTGCAGATATTTTGAAGACATCAAAAGGCGTTATGATATCTATTGAATTCATAATGTTTTGAAGTCCTGTATCTTTTACACTGGTTTGTTTTGATTGGTTTTGTTCCATTTCATCCTCTTTAAAATAAAAAAATAAAAAAAATTTAAAGACCCTGTCTTTAAAAAAAAAAAAAGAAGAAGAAAGTTTAAAAGAAATAAAAAAGATTAGCACAGGAGTGAGAATGCTTGCCCAGGCTGAGCAGGGAGGCCCTGGGGACAAACTCAAGTACCACAACACAACAAAAAAGACTGCCAGGCAAAGTGGCAAGAAGAACTCCTCCCTTTCTTTTTTCTTTTTCTTTTCTTTCTTTTTTTTGGTAGTACTGGGGATTGAACTAAGGGGTACTCTAACATTAAGATATATCCCATTTTCTCATTTTGAAAAAGGGTCTCAATAAGTTGCTCGGGAAGGATTCAAATTTCAACTGCTCCTGACCAGTCCTATATCATAAAACTAAAGAGAACCCAGCATGGCAGCACAGATCTAATCTCACCAGTCAAGAAGCTGGGGTAAGCACTGTGAGTTCAAAGTCAGCCAGGGTCACACAGGGAGACAACAAAAACAAAAGTAGGAGTACATGACTGTAACCTCAGGCTGAGGAAGGAGGATCCCAAGTTTGAACCCAGTTTGGGCAAGTTGGTAAAGCCCTATCTCGAAATAAAAAAATGTAAAAGGGTTGGGGATGTAACTCAGTGCAAAAGCCTAGGGTTCAAGAAACTAGAAGACACAGACATAACAATGAAATGCAGGGCCAGGGATTTAGCTCAGCAGCATAAGCACCTGCCTAGCAAGTGCAAGGTTGTGAGTTTAGTCCCCAGTACCAAAACAAACAAACAAAAAAACTAATCGAATGCAATACATCCAGATCTTGGGTCAAAATAAAGTAGCAGCAGGGACAGAGGCTCACCCCTATAATCCCAGCACTCTGGGAGGCTGAGGCAAGAGTATGAAAAATTCACTCAGTCTGTGTAATTTAGTAATTTAGCAAGACCCTGCCTCAAAGATTAAAAACAACCCAGATATAGTGGTGTTCACTTGTAATCCCAGCACTGTAACTTTGGAAATCTGAAGAAAGGAGAGTATTAGGTGGTACTATTAATGTGGTGCTCATTTTCTCTATAGGATCACTGTCAGAAAAACATTCATGTTCTCAGAAAGTGACGCTGACATGCAAAGCCTTGTGACATCTGCATCTTTCAAATAGTTAGCAGGAAAAAAATGTGTAGGGAAGAGAGGGACATAACTACAAAGGACGTACACGACAGAGATTATTGTGGTGATGGAACAGTGGTATCTTGACAGTGGTTACATGAGTCTATACATATTACAAGATACCACAGAACTATATATGTACATTGTACCAATGGCAATTTTGAGGGTTTTTGGAGTTATTTTGTCTTTTTGAGATAAGGTTTCACTACGCAGTTCAGGCTGGCCTCAAACTCACAGCAATCCTCCTGTCTCAGCCTCCTGAGTGCTGGGATTACTGGCATGCGCCACCACACCTGGCAAATTTTGGGTTTTGATAATGTATTACAGTTTCATGAAATGCAACCACTGGTAAAAACCAGGTGAAGGATATATGAGACCTTTTTGTACTATTTCTGCAATTTCCTATGCATCTATAATTATTTCAAAACTAAAACAATCTTAAATGAATGTGTTTTTATGTATTACAGAAAGACTGTGCAGTACCATGCCCCCAGTGAATACAGGTGAAGGACACCAAGTACTCATGTACTCTTTCCTTTCAATTCTATAGATGCAAAAACTTTGCAAAAATTAAGAAATTCTTACAGGGCTGGGGATTTAGCTCAGCTGCATAAATACCTGCCTTGCAGGCAGGCAGTCGTGAGTTCAATCTCTGGTACCGATAAAAATGAAAAAGACTGGAGCCACCAAGTAAAGAATGGTACACTTGGCACATACATATAGCAAAAACTGTGAGGGTGGAACAAGTGACTGATTAAGATGTAGAAAATACTAAAAGTGTGCTCTGTGTCAAGTGCTGTCAATATTACACATATTTCATTTAAACCTGTGGCACAGGTCTAACTTCTCCTGTATATACCTATGGGCTTGTCCAAGGTTAAACAGTGAGGTAATGGTTTAAGTCCAAGCCCAGAGATCTTTCTACATCACTTTTTTTGAGACAGGGTTTCACTATGCAGTTCAGGCTACCTTTTAACTCTAGCCCAGGGTGGCCTCGAACTCATAGCAATTGTCCTGCCTCAGCCTCTCAAGTGCTGGGACTACAGCATGCGCCTTTTTGGAGGTTTTGTTGTTGTTCTTATCGTTTGGACTTTTTGAGGCAGGGTCTCACTATGCTGTTCAGGCTGGCCTTGAGCTCGCTTTGGAGCCCAGGATGGTCTTGAACTTCCAAGGATCCTCCTGCCTCAGCCTCTTGAGAGCTGGGTTTAGAGGTATGTGACTCCACATCTGGCTTTCCACACTATTTTACTACAGCCTACCCACAAAGTTCCTTCTAAGAACATACAGCCCTAAAAATACTTCCAAGGCACAAAAGGAAAACTGGCTTAATATTTTAACACTCACTTTTGGTTGGTCAGATACCGATCCCAGCCACGAATAATATTGCCATACATCTGCGTGTCTTCTAGATAGCTTCCTTCAAAAGCATAGATCTGTCTCTCCAAGTTTGCCAGTGTTTCCTGAGATGAGAAACGAGGACAGGGAAGAAAGCCTTTTAAATATAAACATTAGAGATGACTGGACTGAAATCCTAGTATTAGATTTATAAATCCTGCTCACCAACACTGAACCATCTTTGGGGAGAAATGGACATGGACAAGGCCAGGACACTCAGGTGCAAGACAGTCCTTTGGATATGATGGGCCCCTTTGTGAACAGAATGGAATTCACGAAGCCTGGCTTCAGAAACACACACAAATGTGGAGAACTGCTTATACTTTAGAGAGAAAGCTGGGCGTTAAGAACAAGACTGGGGCAGGACGTGGGCAGTCTCTACTCCCCCTCAATAGGGTGTCACTACCAGGAAAGGCAAGAGTGAGCAGCAGCCTTCCCCCAATTCACTCTCCTCCCCGCAGCCTCAGCTGCCTCTGAAAGGCAGCCCTGCTGCCAGTTGCTATGGAAACCTGGAGGGACAGCGTCAGGTGAGTGGTCCTCCCCCGCGCGCCAGCCCCAGTGCAGGGCCGGGAGCGCCCAGCCTCCAGGTTCCCGGGACCCCGCGTGCACGTCACAATTCCCAATTCCCCAAGATATGTCCTCTCTCCTTGCCCGTCCCTAAGATGTTCCCAAACGCAGCACATCCCAGTCCGCTGAAAACGCATTTCGGAAGGATGTCCCTGTACTGAAACGGCCGAGCTCCTGCATCCTCCGGAGGCCGGGCTGGGCGTCGGGGCTCCCCTCCCACAGCCGCAGGCCGCACACCTCTGAAGCCTACCGCACGCCCGGCCGGCCTCTGGCGCCCCGGCCCCGCCACGCCCGCCGATGCGCGCTCCCGAGCCCGGCTGGCCGCTCCCCACCCCCACCCCGCGCTTGCTCCCGATCCCGCTCCCGTCGCCGAGCCGCGGGCCGGGAAGCCGAGCCGCCCGCGGGCCGCGGAGAGTACCCGGGTCCGGGCCCCCGAGCTCCCCCCGGAGGAGCGGACAGCAGCGCGGCGGGCGCGCCACCCCAGCCCCTCACCGCCAGCTCCTGCTTCCGCTTCACGAGCTCCGCCAGCTCTCGCCGGGTATCCGGGATCTGCGGCGGGGCAGCCTTGTTGTGCATCGCCATGTTGGGCTGGAGCGGCGGCGACTGCGCGAAGCTGGGAGCGGGTCTTTTCTGATGTTGTCGTCGCAACCGCCAGGGGGCGCCCCGCGCACTGTGCCTGCGCGCGCAGCTTCCGGCCAAGATTGAATCAGGGTGCGCGCGCACCCCTCCATTCTGACAGCTCTCCTTGCCCTGGGTCTGGCCTCTGAGGCTTACAGACCCTGCAGTCTACCGAGTTCAAAGCAAAACTGCTGCTTTAGCCTTTCTGCATCCATTGAATTGCATATGTCAGAAATCTGCGTACCATCCTCACTCTCCACTTGGACTGAGATCCAAGCCAAAACCCAGTTCGGTGGGCTGCACTCAGGAAGACATCACAGTCCATTGCTTTGTTTCTGCCTTCTGCCACCAACTTGGTTCGTTCAAGGCTTCCCCATTTTTGGCCACATTACTCCAACAATCCTCTTATCCCCATCCTTGACCCCATTTAGTCTAACATCCATAATGGTGCTAGGATGATCTTCCCAAAGCAACACGATATTTCCCTTTAAAACATCTCAGTGGATTCCCCTCGTCCTTTATAGAGACAATGTGTAAGTCGACTGAGGGCACAGACTGGAGGCAGAACTTTCTCGTTCAAAATCCTTCCTCTGCATTCATAAACTGTCATCCTGGGCAAGAAATTATTTCACTTGTCAAAATTCCTTTATCGTAAAACTGAGAATCTACATAATACAGTTCCTGTAGGGCACAATCATATGTCTAGGGTTTGGCAAGCAATAAGGGTTGTGTTAAATTTGTCTTTAAGCTCTACTATCTTTAATGTTTTCCCTTTGCCCCGATTTACTTCTCTGTTTTTTAGTATTCTGCAATTTCAATTTCGCAACCATGAATCTAGCTGAGATTTTTATCTTTCATTTTTGTATCGTCCACTAGTTATGGGCAATTCTGTCATCTTTTTAAAAATATGCCTCTTCCTCATTCTCTCCCTCCTAAAATTCAAATATAAAAATTTTTTGAGCCTCAGTCTGGGAAGAATGAGTTCTGGGATTACAAATTTGTGCGACCAGGCTCAGCTTTTTCTTCTCCTCCTCCTGCTCCTTCTACCTCCCTCCCTTTCAGTGTTAAGAATCAAAGCCAGGGCCTGACATATGCAAGACAAATTCTCTACCACTGAACCACGTCCATAGGCCCCATCTTGGATAACATATTTTGTGTGTTGATATTGTAATCTGGAATTTTGGTGAACTCCCTTATTAATTTTGAAAAGTTTTTCATAGATTCCTTGGGATTTTTTGTAATGTAAATAGTCACTCAAATAGGAAGTTATTTTTCTTTGGTACCAGGGATCATGACCTTGTGTTTGCCAGGCAGGTGCTTACACCAATGAGCTAAATCCCCAGCCCTAGGAAGTTATTTTGTAGTTATTTTTTAAATGTAGTCACCTCAAATAGGAAGTTATTTTGTCTTTTGTTATGTTATGTTTCCTTTCCAATGTGAAAGCCTCTTCTTATTGTGCCAGTTGGCTCCAGTACCATGTCTGATAAGGGCAATGAAAGTGGACTCCCAGCTGAGCGTGGTACACATGCCTGTAATGCCAGCACTCGGGAGGCTGAGACAGGAGGACAGTTTCCAGTTTAAGACCAGCCTTGGCTACAAAGTGAGCTCAAGGCCAGCCTGAACTGCATAATGAGACCCTGTCTCAAAAAGACGAACAAACAAACAAAAAAAAGTGAACATCTTTAGCCTGTTCCCATGCTTGGGGAGAAAGCACTTAGTCTTTCATTGTAAAGTGTGATGTTAGCTGTAGAGGTCTCATAGATCTTCTTTATTAAAGAGAGAAAGTGTCTCTATAGTCTCAGTTTGCTGAGAGTTTTTATTATGAATGTGAATTTTGCTAGAAATAAATATGGTTTGCCTTTTCAGTCATATAGGCACACACCTGTAATCCCAGTTACTCAGGAGGATCAGAAATTCAAGACCAGCATGGTAAGTTGAGATCCTGTCCCCTGCCCCCTCCAAAAAAGGGGATATATTTCAGCACTCTCTGCTATGAAAGGAAATAAAGACTGCATAGACATTCTTCAAAGACATGCTGTTAGGTCAAATGTGGTTACCAAGGCTGAAGTGTAGCTCAGTGGTACAGTCCTTTGCCTAACATATGCCAGGAACTGAGTTTGATAGGTTTACTCCATTATTTTCTTGATTGTTTACTATCACTTTGATAACTTTTTACTAATTTGTCAGTTCTTAGATGCTTTCAGAAATCTTTTTGTATTTGTTTTCTGAGTGAGCATGGTGACCAATAATCCCAGCTGTTCAAGAGGCTAAAGGAAAGGGTTAGGAGTTTGAGGCTAGCCTGGGATACAGAATGTTAACCCTAAAGTAACTAAATAAATAGGACTAGAGAGGTAGGCTAGTTGCAGAGCACTTGCCTAGCATATACTGATGCACTGCAGAAGGACTTGGATTTTATTCCTAGCATCAAAAAGAAAAAAATGTTTCTTTTCTTTTTTAAATACAATTAAGTTTATTAGTACACTTTAGATATACATTATGATCATATTCATCATAGGGAATTAGCACCTGTACATGATATATTTTGCTGCCACCCACAAGACAGGGTCTCGACATGGACCTCAGACTGGCCTTCCAGTCACATAGCCCAAGCTGATCTCAAACTCACAGCAATCCTCCTGCCTCAGCCTCCCAGTACTGGGGTTATAGGCATGCACCACCATGCCTGGCCAAAATAAAAAAAGAAAACTTTTACCTTAAAAGTTTAGCAGGTAGCTTGAAAAGGCAGAAGTCTCACCTCTATTCACCTATTGAATTTCAAGTTCTTTCAAAGCCTCCCTACACAATTTTGTTCCCCCTTAGCCTCCTCTGGCAATCTACTCATTTTTTGATGCATAAGGCTTTCGTTGTTTCTAAGACAGGCATGGTGGCACATGCCTGCAATCCCAGCACTCAAGAGGCTGGAGGCAGAGACCGGAAGATCGCTCTGAATTCTAGGCCAGCCTGAACTACATTGACACCATCTCCAAAAATCCAAAAACAACTACCAAAAAACCCCTATTTCTCTGCATTTCCACAATCCTGAGCTTCTCCCATTAGTGATCTGAGTCTCCCCAGACTAAGACACAGTCCATCTATCACATTGCAAATGTGGCATCTGGTCATCTAGCTATTCAGGAGGCAGAGAGGGAAATATCAGTTGAACCCAGGAGTTGAAGACCATCCTGGACTGCTTAGCAAGAACCTCTCTTCATGTGACTTTTTGAATTGCAGTCCTACCTACCACTGTGTGAGCTTGATCTGTGCCTCAGTTATCTCATTTGCAAAATGGAATGTTACCTGAAGGCTGCCTCATTGAGTCATGTGAATGAAATGAGTTCATCCAAGTTAATACCCTACAAAATGCTTAGACCTTTACCTGGTCCACACAAAGTGCTGCTCAGTAGTGGCCAGTTTTATTGTTCTCAACTCTTGGCACTTTGGCACTCAATTACTGGCCATCTATTTTATCAATCAACATGATCATTTCCAAGTATCTCTCATACTTTATGAGGGATTTGCCTGAATAACTCTCCACCCCCAGAAGTCCCACCCATTATTTCTTTGAACCCCCAATGAGTTGAGCAGCCAATGTATCAAATGTCTTTCCCTGCTACTCTCTTCCAGGTGGGAAGGAACAGTCTAGAAGATTACTTGAATCAGGATTGAGTGAGTCCCCTCATTCCAGCCCTACAACTATGGGAGTTTAGATAAACAATTTATAGACTCCCTTCCACTGCTGCTTCCTGGACTGTTGAACTGGGCACAATGCCCTCTTAATGATACTGATTTAAAGAAAAACAATAACAAACTTTTTTTTAATTTTAAAGAGAATAAGACAACAAAACAAAACAATGGAAACGATATTGGATTTCAAAAACAAGGCAGTAGGAAATCAACCATGGTTACTGTAATGCACACTGCTATCCTCTAAACAGATGCTCAGACCACCACACACAGGCATGCAGAGTAAGCACCAAGTTGTCTCTTTACTTCAGCTGCCATCACCTCAGAAATTTCAGGTGTGAACTTCTAATTTCTTTTGCAGCTGTGTCATCAGGGCTTGTCCTGGGTGGGCTGGAGGTCTGAGATTGCACCCTGCTTCTTTATCCTCCAATCTCAGATTCCTGGGGTGGCAGAGAGGTGTGGGAAGGCTGTTCATCCATGTTCCCCCAAAAGCATTGGGGCCTTGCAGGGAAGGGTTGCTTTCTCTCCCCTGGGCCCAGAGGGGCTGGTTCACCAGGGGGCATGGCCTTACTAGGTGGGGAGGGGATTTCTTTCTAGTGAATTGATCATTACATTTCTAAAGTTCTGAAACGGCCAACAGACAACAGGAAGATAGCACTTTGGGCTCCAACTTGACACCAACAGCTATGTAGTTCATACTGGTCCTGAACTCACTACATAGCCCAGAATGGCCTTAAAATTGCTGTAATCTTCCTGCCTCAGCCTCCTAAATGCTGAGATTATGGGCATGTGACACCATGCTGAGCCAAAACACAAGCAAAATTATTTTTAATAAGGCATAGTGGCAGAAGCCTGTAATCACAGCACTCTAGAAGGCTGAAGCAGGAAGATTACTGATTCAAGCCCCATCTAGGCAAATTTGTGGGACCCTACCTCAAAACATAAAATAAAAAAGGACTGGCAATGGAGTTCAATGTAAAGGCTCTGGGTTCAATCCCCAGTACCACCCCTCCAAATATTTATATATTGAGTATATATATATATATATATATATATACTCAAACATCATCTTTCACAAGGTACACCCCACATTACAGTTGTTGCTCCATTTGACTCACAGCCATAAATGAACTGTTAGTCTAGCAAGCACAGGAAACTGATTGGATTCCTTTGCTTTAGGGTGGGAATAACTATTTGGGAGTTTTTTGTTTTTTGGGTTTTTTGTCTTTTTCCTTTTTATCGGCACCAGGGATCGAACTCACGACCGCCTGCTTGCAAGGCAGGTGCTTACACCGCTGAGCTAAATCCCCTATTTGGGAGTTTTGCCATTCGGAGTTTTAGCAACCATCTTTTTGTTCCTCATTAGATAAATACACGGGAAACTCTCCAAGAGACCAAATGTTTTGGCTTTACACTCCACTGTATGTCACATTTAGGCTCCAATTAATCGCTGTTCCTCAGATCCACAAGCAATTCCCATAACATGAAAGATATTAAAAAATATAACCATCTTGGGACTGGAGGGGTTAGCTCAGCAGCTTAAGTGCCTGCCTGGCAAGCGTGAGGTTGAGTTCAATCCTGACACACACACACACACACACACACACACACACACACTCTCTCTCTCTCCATATATATATATATATATATATATACATATATATATATATATATATATATATAAACATCTCTATACCATATCAAATGATATTCACTTGATATATATATTTAAGTTGTAAGCTTTTTAAAACTAAGCGATACTGTATACTGGCACCCAAATACAGTAATAAACATTTTTTAAAAAGTTTTCCATTATTTCAGTGACTTCTGCTTTATCTCCAGGACACAATAAAAAGTAATTTGCAAGTTCCATCACTAGTTGTATTTCACAGGCTGTCCTTTGTCAATGTTAAAATGAGGGAGTTCGAATGTGACCAGCAAGAGTGATGCAGAAAAGATCGTGTTCCGTACCTCTGCACAGCCACGAGCCACCAGAGGATGCAGGGGAAGGGATCAGAAGCAGAGGGCTGTGCTGCAGCACAGCCTGCTTTGGGCAGCAGTGATCTGTAGGTAAGCCAGCCAGTGGGGAGAAAAGATGAGCCTGTGACTACCCAAGATGAACATGTTTTTCCAACTTTAGAGATAGTGTCATTTTCTTAAATTTCCCTTAAAAAAAAAAAAAAAGAAAAAGAAAGAAAACAAAACCAAAGACACCTTCCCAGATGTTTGGCATTAAGAATCTGCTCATCGGGCTGGGGATTTAGCTCAGCAGCATAAGCACCTGCCTTGCCAAGCAGGCAGTCGTGAGTTCAATCCCCGGTACCGATAAAAAGGAAAAAGACAAAAAAAAAAAAAAAAAAAAAAAAAAAAAATCTGCTCATCAGGGCTGGGGATTTAGCTCAGTGGCATAAGTGCCTGCCTGGCAAGCACGAGGTCATGAGTTCAATCCCAGTACCGCAAAAAAAAGAATCTGTTCATCCAGGAAGCTACTGCTCCACTAAAGCAAATGTTCACTATGTAACTGGGACCACCTAATGGAAAATGTAAGCAAAGCGGTCATCAACCAGTGTCCAGCAAAGTAACCCAAAGCTACTGGGCAGCAGCTATATGTAGCACACAGTGAACAGAGCCCCTAGCGTGAGATTCCAGATGAATGCTAATCCCAGAGAGACAATCTTGTACCTGGAGGAAGAAAAATATTTATCAAATCTACGTTTTAGACAGATACATATGTTAATATGTGACCAATGGCAATTGTGAAAGTGAGGAAAATAGCAGTTAGAGGGGCTGAATAGAACTCCTTCTAGTTTCCTTTCGTCTGACTTTATTAAGTGTTCTTTTTTTGGTACTGGGGACCGAACTTACAACATTGCGCTTGCCAGGCAGGTGCACTGCCACTGAGCTAAATCCCTGGCCCTAAATCTAAAACTTTTTTTTCTTTTGTAAGCGTTCACTTTTACAAAAGGATCTTTTAATTTCTTTTGAATGAACAGTGAGTTGCTCTCCTACGCACGAGCCAACTTTTGGCCGAGTACATGTGGGAATGTGAGACCCTATTGCAAAACCAATGGAAAAGACAATCTCATCCACTCTAAGCACTCTAAGTTAATACCTTAACAGGGAAGGATTAACAGCAGGAGCGTGTCCCTTCCTCTCCGCTGTCACCTAACAGGAAGTGGTACACATGGCATTTCACTGTGTGAGACAGAGGACAGCCACATACAACTCAGCCCAAGCTCTGGATATTCTGGAAAGGAAAAACCCCTTCACTGCCAGCTCAGTTATACTGTATATACTGTTCCCAAATGTGATAATGCACCAGGGGGTGCTGGGATGGGAGGTCTTGGATTGTAAGGGAGGTACATGTCCTCTTTTTGCTATTTTCTGCTCTCTTTCCCAACACTTTAAATAACTACAATAACTACAACTGATACAAAGGCTCTTTTAGCAGTCAAAACCTATGGATACATCATCTATACTAGGAAAGCACAATATTACCCTTTGAAATGGGGTTATATTTACAAATTTTATTTTTATCCCAAAAATACATATAAATGAAAACCTGCTCTTCAAATGCAGGGAGGCCCATGTGGTATTACATTTTTATCACAAAACATTATATGAAAATCAGTATGCAGCTCTTTAACACATAGTTTATATATATATACACATGTATGTTATGTAAGTAGTTAATACTTTTCTACTTACACACTGTCCTATAGTGAAACACTTGGAAACTCGCAGTCCCCTTGCTTTCCAGCCTTGGGAGGTAAACACCTTTCTGAACAATTTTTAAAGATGAAATAGATACGATAGATAATGTTCTTTAGACATATATACACGTAAGAATAAAGTAGGACCCTGTCAGGTTAAGTGACAGTGTATCTCTCAAAGGGGGAAAAAAAGGATAAACGTTTTGATAAAAATGTAAAACCAAAAAAAAAAAAAAAAAAAAAAGACAAGATGATGAAAATTTTATGTACATGTTCCATGGAGAAATCAGAAATTTTCTCATAGGAAGCAGATCCACAACCCATTTCATCCTCTCATGATATTGAACCAGCACCCTTATTATTAGCCATGACTTTCCTATATAGTCATGTGCTTCAGCAGGTGCCATAAAGCATCGTTTAACAGTCAATAATGAGGTCATGTAGTACCCCCCAAGAACCCCAAAACAAAAAAACAAAAACTAAGTGCAAATCAACTTGTATGACTCAAGAGCTCAACCAGGATGAAGCTTTGGTATATGCTGGAGGCTGTTTTGGTGACCACCAAAGCTTAGTAAGATCCTCTGCTCAGGGCTTTGCCCCCCCCAAACAAAAACTCTTGGTCTTAGTAACTATATAAATAAAGCAACTGTACAAAGAGAACAAGCCACAATTCCCCTGTAAGCACGGGTTTAGTTTCCTCAGTAGCAGATCTGAAAACAAAATACCCACAGGCATGTGGCCGACGTGCCACAGAAAAAGTCCAATGAAATGTAAGTCAGTGTTCTTCATCTGTAATGTAAGCTGGTTGGCAACAGAAGAAAGACTTAAGGCAGTAGGAGGCATTACAGAGAGCAGCACAGTGCTCTCGGCGTCGATCCCAAAGTGTCCCACGAAGGAAAAGGTGTCTCAGGAGTCTGGGTTCTTAGTTTGCTAACTGTCAGAAACTACCTCCTCCTCGTAGTCATCCTCATCGTCCTTCCTGTCTAGTTCAGAGGTGTCTGATGACTCGTGTAGCAGGACATACTCTCTACTGCTGAACCCAAATTTAAGTACATCCTTTTCTTTTAGTTCATAGTATCTCTGTGGCTCAATACGCTTGTTGTTCAGGAAAGTTCCATTGCCTGAGCCCAAGTCAATGATGTAGGGCTTCACCCTTCGGCCAACGGTACCATCGGCACGAGTATATTCCACAAGCCTAGAGAAGGGAAAAGAGAGAAGTAGTGAGGAAAATCCTGCCTCAGTATCCAGCCTTTTTAACCAAGAATCTGTACAAAGTCCAAATGATGTACGTAACCTGGCTTGAATACAATTCAAGCTAAAACTCGGAAATCAGGGGAAAGCACTGTGCTGGATAGTAAAACTGGGAGTGCGGTAGTTTAAATACATGCACTAGAAAAGTAACTAAGAACTCGTTGTTAGGTAGATGCAAGCAATCCATAGTAGATCAAAAGCCTAAAATGCTTGTCGATCCTGTTGTGTATCACTAATAAATGTTTCTTTGGCCTATATTTTAATATATTTTAGCTTTATACCAATTTAAAAAAAGCAGTGAACTTGGACCTCAGTGTCAGGGAGCTAGGTCTGAGCCAGAGCTCTGGTATGATCATTTATTAGGCAAGTCACCTGGCTCTATTTAACTTCAGGTTCCCTTTATGTCAAATAGGAATATTAACTCTAGTCGCATGTTCCTCAGGTGAGTGTTCTAAGGGCCACATACTAACAGATACACTACCTAAGTAGGCACTTGCAGATCTAGTCACCACATATGCGAGGCGTTTTCAGTTCCACCTCCATTAACTTTCATAACAGCCCCATGAAGCAGGAGGAAACAGGCCCAGACAGTGGCTGTCCCTGCATCAAATACTTGGAAAGTGTCAATGGTAAATTCAAAATCTGAGTTTCTGAAACCAAGTTCAATGCTCTCATATAAATAAATGACTGGTAGGCTTGGTGGCACACACCTGTAACCCCAGCACTCAGGAGGCTGAGACAAGACGACTGTCTCGAATTCAAGGGCAGCCTAGGCTACACAGTGAGTTCAAGGGCAACCTAAACTATGTAGTGAAACCCTGTCTCAAAAACAAACAAATATATATAAATAATCGATAAATCTAGTATTAGACATGACAAGTATGGGTTTCTGTGTATGTGGTAGTACTTTGGTTAATGAACATTTTCATTTGTAAACAATTTGGTTGCAAACAGAAGCATTTGGCAAAATTTTGTTTTTGTTTGTGAACTCTGCATTGGGTAACAAACATAAGCACATCCATCTTTTCCAGAATCATGGAACAAATTAAATTCGTAAACTGAGGTACCACCACACACATAAGCAAGTATCAGTCATCCTGATTGCAAGCATTCAGTGTCTGCTGGCACCTTGGATGCTTCCCTTGCAAACACACTTACCGGTACTGAAAGACGGCATGCTGCTTTGAACACGATGGATGATCGATGGGAATGTCTGCAATGCGGCGGTGCCGACCCAGAAGGTAAGCACTTTGTCGATGGATGTACATGACAGGGAGTACCTCGTCATTCTTAAAAGGGTAGAGACGCCACCGTTTTTTGGGGATACGAGCTTCTGGGGGCTCACTGTACTTAATGACTACACCTCGAAAGGTGTTAGTGTCCTCAAGAAGTGCCCCAGAGAGTTCAAAGCTTGGTTTTTCTTTAACAGGCACCTCTCTGTCTTTGTTGTTGCCAGCAGGCCGCGGCACCAACTCCTGAGCACCACTGCCGTTTCCGCTGCCTTCGCTCTTCTGGCGGTGCTCCCGGCGCCTGGCATTGTAAAACTCACGCTGTTCTTCCTGCGCCTGCAGGCTCTGGCCATCTCGCTCCCGTCCCTGAGATGGCCCGCTCCCAGGCCTCTCACCAGAGCTTCTCCTCTGGCGGGAATGACCCCGGTGTCTGTCTCGGTCACTGTTCCTAGCCCTCCTGTGTTCCTGACTGGATGGTTCACGGTGCTGCCGATCCTCCCGCCCTCTCCGGGGGTGATCCTCGTGTTCCTGAAATCGAAACAGACTCAGTTATGTGGAGCAGGCCACCATCTAGAAGGAGCTGCACTTCAGTCTCTGGGGATCTCCATTCTGGCATTCAGGACAGAATCCTCCACAGATGTAAAGTAATCAATCTGTGGTAGCTATGTTCCCTCAGAAGCCTGCTAAGATTATGTGCTATGCTGCCACTTGTCGTTAGGTCTAAGAGCACAAGTTCATTTCTAGCATGCCCAAAAACTGGTACAGAAAGGAAAAATACCCTCCCTTTCACAACATGTATAAACCAGACAAATTTATAGAGGAATATACAGAGAAAACAGAATAATAAAGGATATTAAGTAGTTATATACTAAATACATAAAAAAGTTAGCTTTCTTTTATGCCAAAAATAAAACCACAAGTAAACTTTTTGAGACAGGGTCTTGCTAGGTAGTCCAGGCTGGCAATGAACTCGCCATGCAGCCCAGAGTGTCCTGGAACTGGCAATCCTACTTCAGTCTCCTGCGTGCTGAGATTAAGGTTATGTACCACCAATCTTGTAACTCTGAAGGATAACAAAATTATTTAATGACTAGGAATAAAATTTCCTAGCTTGATCCCTAGTACCACAACAAAACATTAAAGATGCAAGAAACCTGGAACTGGGTGCAGTGGTGCATGCTTGTAAACCCAGCACTCTTAGGCTGAGGCAGGAAGAATCACCAGCTGGATGCCAGACTATGCAACTTGGCAAGATCCTGTCTAAATAAAAATATTTAGAAAAGGGCTGGGAAAAGCACATTGCAAAGCCCTTGGTTTCAATCCCAGTATTATGGGGCGGTGGTGTGTGTGTGTGTGTGTGTGTGTGTGAGTTGTGTTTGAACCACCATGCCCAGTGACATTGTTTTAAAGACTTTTTAAAAATGCAGAAGTTTCCATCGTTTTTTGAAAACTAATGCTCTGAAAGTCAGCCTGGTAGAAAAATTTTCATACACGAATATATCAGAAAATAAATCAGACAAATAATTCAATACAAAAATAGTCAAGCCAGGCATGGTGACAGATGTCTGTAATCCCAGCACTTGGGAGGCTGAGGCAGGATGATCCCTGTGAGTTCAGAGGCCAGCCTGGGCTACACAGTAAATTCAAGGGCAGGCTGAACTATACATATAGCGAGACACTGTCTCTAAATAAATAAAGGGGCTGGAGATTTAGCTCAGTGGCATAAGCACCTGCCTTGCAAGCAGGCGGTTGTGAGTTTGATCCCCAATACCGATAAAAAAAAATTAAAAAAAACAATCAGAAGAAGTCTAATAAATACCCACAGTCTATCCTCACTAATAACTAAAGCATCAGTTCTAAAGAGAATATGAATTTTCTCTTTTAGAGTAGCAAAATTGCTGGGCAGGATAGTGCCTGCCTGTAATCCCAGGATGCAGGAGGCTGCAAGTTCATTGCCAGCCTGGGCTACAAACTGAGCTCAAGGCCAGCCTAAACTGCATAGCAAGAACCTTGTCTCAAAAAGACCAAAAAATAAATAAAAGTAGCAAAATCAAAACAATGGATATTCACAGCACTGCCAGTCTAAGTATAACGTGGCAAAGCCTATTTATGGCAATTTGGCAGTAATTTTTTTTAACTGGTACTGGGGATCGAACTCATGATCACATGCTTACAAGGCAGGCATTTATGCCGATGAGCTAAATGCCCAGCCCTAATTTGGCAGTGTTTAATCAAAATTTCATAAGCTACTAATCCCACTCACAGGGATCTAGCCTACAGAAACTCTAGCAGAAATATAACCATTAATATGAGGGTGTTTACTACAATCTTACTTGCAGTAACCAAAGTAGAAAGTACTCTCATATTCCTCAATAATATAATGTTTAAATGATTACAAATTCATAAAGGGGTACTTCACAGACATTAAAAGTGAATGAGATAATGACAAATAAAAATATTTAGTAGAAAGAAAAACCAGAGAGGCAAGTTTTATAATGGAGAAATCTCCACTTAGCAGATTATTCAGATACTCAAAGGAGTGTTCCCATTGTATTCAACTGGATATTAAGTAAAAATATTTCATTTTAATGCATTCCTGAAGTCACACAAAGCAAGAGAAAATCTCCAAGGGGGAAAGATCAATTAACTATGAGCCTCAAAATCAAAGAGCAGGAGACATACAACGAAACACACCACTGTGCATAAGCAGCAGAAACAAGGCCTACAGATTTAGATACCCAAGGACTTCAAATACTGCGCTAGCAAGATACAGTACAGAACACAACATTCGGGGCTGGGGATTTAGCTCAGCGGCATAAGCGCCTGCCTTACAAGCAGGCAGTCGCGAGTTCAATCCCCGGTACCGATAAAAAAAAAAAGAAAAAGACAAAAAAAAATTAAAAAAAAAAAAAAAGAACACAACATTCATGTATAGGCCAGACATAGTGGCACACTCCTATAATCTTAGCACTAGGGAGGCTGAGGCAGGAGGACTACCATGAGTTCAACGCCAGCCTGGACTATAAATCAAGTTCAAGGCCAGCCTGAAATGCATAGTGAAACAGAAAGACCAAAACAAAACAAACTTATATATAAAACTGTAGATGACTAAGGTTACATTTTTTTGAGTCAGGTGCAGTGGCACACACGTATTAATCCTAGAAGTCTAGTAGGCTGAGCAGGATTCTAAATTTGAGTCCGCCATGGACCACTTAGTAAAACTGCCTCAAAATACAAAAAAAGTAACTGCAACCAGGGCATAATGGTACATGCCTGTCATCTCAGCACTATGAGAGACTGATGTAGGAGGACCTCAAATTTAAGCCCATTTTAGGTAACAATGATTTACCAAGATCCTATCTCAAAATTTGGTAAAACACTCATTTATTGCATTGTCATTGCATTTATGCTTAGAGGGAAAAAACTGAACCTGAATTTGAACAAGATTTGAGATATCATTATCAACTTACAGGAAAAACAAGGGTCACTATAACCTATTAAGTGAACGCAAATTATAAATAAATTGCAAAGGAAAGAAAAAAATGAAGCAATAGGAATCTATAGATTCAACAAGATTTAAGAGTTGGGTGTGGTGGCACACATATAAAGCAGCACAGCAGGAGGCTGAGGCAGAAAGATCTTTCATTTGAAGCTACTGTGAACTAATTAAATAGGTAAAACCCTATCTTGAAGAAAACAAACAAAAGCCAAACCAAACCAGAGACATAAAACACTGATGTATTACAATATACAAATCTTAAATCTCAATACTGATTTAAACAGTAAATTTATACAAAAACCAGTCACAGAAATATGAACACCAACTAGATACTTCATGATAGAAGATTATTTCAAATGAAAGCTATAAATCAGCAGTAGAGTATGCACTCAGCATTGCTGGAGGCAATGAATCCCCAGCACCAAATAAAATCCAGGTGATCTCACATCCATCAGGATGGCTATTATCAAAAAACAGAAAACAGAAAGCTGGGCGTGGTGATGCATGGCTGTAATCCTGGCCCTCAGGAAGGCTGAGGTAGAAGTACCTCAGTAAGTTTGAGGCCAGCCTGGGCTACAAAGTGAGTTCAAGGCAAGTCTGAACCATATAATGAGATCCTGCCCCCAAAAAAGACCAAAAAGAAAAAAAGGTTGAAGATGTAGTCAGTGCTACAGGCCAAGGCTCTGACATTATTCCCAGGCCAATAACAATAAAAAAGATACGAAACAACTAAAAAAACAACAACAACAATAAAACTGGAAGTAACACATACTTCCAAAAAACATAAAGAAACTGAGACCTCCCTGTACTATTAGCAGGAATGATAAAATGGTATCACCATTAGGGAAACAATGTGATGGATCTTCAAAAAATAAAAAATAACTGCCAGGCTATAGCTCAGAGGCATAGCGCCTGCTGGGCGAGCTCGAGGTTGTGAGTTTGATCCCTGGTACCAAAAAAATAAAAAAATACAATTATCATATGATCCAGTCATTGTATTTCTAGAATTGATAGCACGTTTTGAAGAGACACTTGTACATTCAAAGTCACAGCAGCACTATTCAAAATAGCTGAGAGGCGCTGCCACAGATGAACAGATGCATTACAATGGAACGTTACCTAATCCTAAAAAAGAAGGAACTTCTGGCACCTGCTACAGCATGGATAAATCTCAAAGGACATTATGCTAGCTGACATGAGCTAGACACAAAAGGACAAGTAACGTACTGTTCCACTGTGTGAGGTGCCTAGAGCAGTGTAATTCACAGAGACAGAAAGTGAAAGAGTGGTTGCTAGGGGCTGGGAAGGGAGGAAACTTACTGTTACTGGGGATAGCTTCAGTTTTGTGAGACTGAAAGCACATGAATAGATGGTGGCGACAGCTGCACAGCAATGAGAATGTGCTTAATACTAGTAACTGTACGCTAAAAATAGGTGCGATTGTACACTTTATGTTATATATTAGGATTAAAATATTCTTTCTAAAATTAGGTGGGTTAATAAATTTGTGGGAGTTTTTGTTGCATGATAATAAGGACTTATTCCTGGGTCTTAACGCTGAGCTATATCCCAATCCATATTTTATATACATATATATATTTATTTATTTATTTTTATTTATATATATTTTTGTATCAGGGATTGAACTCACAATGTCACGCTTGCCAGGCAGGCGCTTATACCACTGAGCTAAATCCCTGGCCCCATATTATATTTTTTATTTTGAGATAGGGTCTCAGTAAGTCACTAAGTTTTTCAGGATGAGCTTGAATTTGTGATCCTCTTGCCTCAGCCTCCCAGAGTACTGGGATTGCAACTCTTAGAGTGCTACAATTACAGCTGTGCACTGTTCTGGGCTTTGTGGTTTGTCCTTTTTCTAAGAATCTTATCTCTTAGTGCTGTGTTCTTAAATATGTACAAATGGGCCAGGAATGTGGTAGAGTGCTTGCCTAGCATACACAAGGTCCTGAGTTCAATTCCCAGTACTACACACACACACACACACACACACACACACACACACACACACAATTTACAGATGAAATGGCATGTCTGGAACTTGCTTCAAAATAATTTTGAGGGAGGGAAAGGAGAGAAGTACAAACAAAATCAACTCACAAAAATGTTTATGCTGAATGATACAAGGTGGTTCATTAAACATTAGAAATTCTCTGCACTAAAATATTAAACAGAAACAGCCAGACAATGGGAAAACGAGCCAAGCAGAACTTTTCATAACAAGTATCTATCCTTAGGTTCAAAAAGATAAACAAATTCTAAAATGATTAAGAAATTTGCTGCTGGGCATGGTGGTACATACCTGTAATCCCAGCACTTGGGAATCCAGAATCCAGGCAAGAGAACTGCTAGGAGTTCAAGGCTAGCCTGGTTATACACAAGTATTTACTATCTGAGCACCTTGCAACAAAACTGCGAAACAGTATCACAGGGTGCGCCCCCCACCGGTGTAGTGGAACACATCCCTAATCCAGCACTCTGGAAACTGAAGCAAAAGGATCACTGTAAGTCTGACAACAACCTGAGCTACATTGTGACACCCTGTCTCAAAAACAAACAAAACAAAACCACCATTGAAATAAAGAGAAAAAAGAAATAAGAAAAAAAGAAAAAGAAACATATCATCCGACAAGGATAGTGAAGGAAGGTAGGAAGCATACTCATTTATCAAGTCCCATCTTCCCAGAGTGTGAAGCCTGTCTAGAGTGAAGAGGGAACCCCGCCCGCATCAGCAAGACTGACCTCCAGAAGGGTGAAGAGAAAATCCCGAGACTGGGACAAGCCTTCTCCTTGCTACACACAGCCTTGCTTAGAATAACACTCAGTTTCTCCAATTTTCCTAGCCTCTGAAGATAAGCATCCAGACCCACCCCTATCACCCCAAAACAGGACTCCAGGCAGCACCTGTGTTTAATTCACCAGGCCTAAGCTCATTAAGTCCTTTATCCCTGTTTAAGAATCACTCTCTAAGGAAGCTAGACTAGACTCCTTACCATCACCCCACCTCCTCTGTATAATCCTCACATAGCTCTGTGCATCCACTACTATGTCCCTAAAATCTCAGCTTTCAATTTGTGAAACCAGGAAAAGCGCAGCCAAACCTACAGTTTCAACATTTGGTCTCAGTGCTTTTTACCTTCCTGCCCTGCAGGTCTCCCAAATGGCAGAGGTTTTTCTCCCTTGAAACCACGTCTGGGCCTGGATGTATAGTAGGTATCTTCCAGACTCTTCACTGCCAAATCTAGAACACTTACCAGCCCTCCTTTTTACCTAAAACCCCCAGTTCTGAATCTCAGAGACCTTTATCGCCCACTTCTCAGTGACGATGTCATCTACTAGCCCTAAGCCATTTCCTCTCATTTCCTGACCATTGTTCTATTAGCTCATCACTCTTTCTGTAACACACAGGCAGCCTTTCTAACTCTGGTCTTTCTGTTGTCTGAGCTCCTCTCTTCCAGGGATATTTGTCTTGCCTTCACCTCGCTCATCCCTGGCTGTATCAGACCTTTTCATTCCCAGAACAGCAACCCCACCACACTATAATCTCCATTTTAAGGCACCTTTTTTTAGCCATCGTTATTCTTTCCAACTCACATTTTATCAACACCAACAATCCTTATCCCAATAAGCAGCAACTCTCCAATCCTACTACCTTTGCAAGTCCCACACCCTCTCCATGTCCCTTCCTGTCTCACTCAAGTTCCATAGTGAAGCATGATCACTTCCTGGCACACACACTGAAATCCTTTGCCCTCTTCCATTATGTTGCACACTCCTGGCAAGCCAACAAGCAGCAACAACAGGGAAATGAGGCTGGGAAAAAGCACCACTCACTCTTAACTGATCTCAAGACGGACAATTCCAAGCCTCTTCAAGGATGCTCAGGGATCACCCTACGCTTCCCTTATCTACTCACTGTCCCACTGTCTTTTCTCCTCATTCACCGACACATTCTTGCCCATCCCCTCCTCACAGTCAGAAGGAGTCTTTCCCTATCTGCCCACCTTTCATCTATCAGTACACTCTTTACTCCCTACCTGGGACCTTTTCGTGCTATCAAAAGTTAATCCTGGGGCTGAGTATTTAGCTCAGCGGCATAAGCACCTGTCTTGCAAGCAGGCAGTCCTGAGTTCAATCCCTAGTCCCAATTAAAAAAAAAAAAAAAGTTAGTTCTTGAGTTGGGAACTTGATTTCATGCCCTCTTATCAAGAATATCACTCTGGCACTTTTCGACCATCTCCTACACATCTATCTCTGATCATCATTTCTATCAATGTAGCAACATGTTCTCTAGACACCATATTCTACCCCATGAAATGCCAGCTTCCACCCCATTTTTTTCATTGTTTTTTGAAGTAAGACTCTTCAAAAGTTTTTAAAAGGTTACCCATTCCTTTGTTCTTATCTTCTCCTGAACCTCTCTAAACAGGTTTCACCCTTTGATGGGCCTGCTGGTGCTTGCCTGTAATCCTACCACTCTGGGAGCCTGAGACAAGAAGATCACAAATTCGCCAGGTGTGGTGGCTCACACCTGTAATCCCAGCACTCAGGAGGCTGAGGCAGGAGGATCATTGCGAGTTCAAGACCAGCCTAGGCTACAAAGTGAACTCAAGGCCAGACTGAACTGCTCAGCAAGACCCTGTCTCAAAAAGACCAAAAAAAAAAAAAAAAAAAAAAAGATCACAAGTTCAAGCCCTGTCTGTGCAACTTAGCAAGACTCTTTTGCAAAATAAAAAATAAAAAATAGGCTGGGGATACACCTTTGTGTGAAGGTCCTGAGTTTAATTCCTGAGTTTAGCACCAAGAGAAACAACATAACAGAATAAAGATTTCAGAAATACATGTATGCCCCAATGAGTTTTGACAATGGAGCAAAAAGTAGTCCAAAGTAAAAATGACAGTGGATCAAGTGGGCACTACAGGCCATTCACAGACCAAAATCTGGACCTCAATTTGAGTCTCACATCTCATACTGTATTTTAACAAACTGAAAACAGACCATGGATTGAGGTGTTCAACATCATTAGCCACAAGGCAGGAGGACTGCTGTGAGTTTGAGGCCAGCCTGAACAGCATGGAGAAAGCCTGTCTCAAAAAAAATTTAGCCATTAGGGAAAATGTAAATTAAAATTACAATGGTTTATCACTACATGCCTAACATGACAATAATAAAAAATAGTGACAACACAAAATTATAGAGAAATTCAATCATTCATACATTGCTGGTAGAATGTAAAATGTTATCGCCACTGTTATAAACTAAATGGTTACCTCCAAAATTAATATGCTAAAGTATCCAAACCTCAATACCTTGGAATGTAATCATTTAGAGGACAAGGTCGGTAAAGATGTGATTAAGTTGAAGTAAGAGTGGAGCCCTGATCCAGTATGACCAGTGTCATTGTAAGAAGAGAGCTTGTGCACAGAGGGAAGGGATGTGAGGGCACCATAAAAAGGTAGCCACTTGCAAACCAAAGAGAAAAGTCTAGAAGAAATCAAATCTGCTGACACCTAATCTTGGACCTGGCTTTCAGAACTATCCAGAGTACTGGAATTCAGGCATACACCAAGTTTCTTGAGGTTTAAATCTGCAACTACCACTAAAACAGTACAATTCGGCAATTGTACTCCTAAACATTTAACCCAAAGAAACAAACTGTTTGCACAAAAACTTGTACACAAATGTTTAAGCAGGTGTAAGCATAACTTACAGTCCCAACCAGGAAACAAGCTAGATATTCCTTAATGGACTCATGGCAAAATCTAGACTACTGAATACTCTCAGTAATCAGTGTAATGACCTGTATAAAACGCCAAAGAATTCTGTTAACTTAAAAAGATCAACTATGATTCTATTCAAATGATTTCATTCATGAAAAAAATACAGAAATGAAAAATAGATGAGCCAGGCAAGGTGGTGCTCATCTGTAATCCCAGCACTTGGGAGACTGAGGCAGAAGGATCAATGCAAGTTCAAGACCAGCCTGGGCTACTTAGTGAGTCCAGGCCAGCCTGAACTGCACAGAAAGACCCTGTCTCAAAAAAACAAAACAAAATTAGATGAAAAGCTTCCAATAGTTAAAGAAGAATAAAGATATGAAAGAAACGAATGTGGCTATTAAAAGACAACACGATGGATCCTTGTAGTGACAGAAATGTTCTGTATCTGGATTATACCAATAACATTTTGCTTGCAACACAGCACTATAGCTTCGTAAAATGTTACTACTAAGAAAAATGAACATGTCTCTGTATTATTTCTGACAAGTTCAGATTTTCCAGGTGTGAATCAGCAATCAACTCAACATGAAAGGCATAATTTAAGAAAACCCTCAAGCACCCAGTTTTTGGGTAGCCCATTGCAAGTACAGGAGAAATACACTTGTGCTATTATGGGAAGAGGCTCTAAACTTGGACCCAGTATCAAAATACCTCAATCCGGGGCTGGGGATTTAGCTCAGCGGCATAAGTGCCTGCCTTGCAAGCAAGCAGTCCTGAGTTCGATCCCGGGTACCAATAAAAATAAAAAAAAAAAAAATACCTCAATCCATTTACCTCTTTCACTTTGACTGTTGAATGGTGAGGACTTCGGCTTCTTTTACTCCTAGGAGATTTGCTTCTTCTCCCCGACGATTTGATTTTCTTTTTGGCCGGGGACCTATTCGAAACATGGTACACACAGAATTTTACTTCCATTTTAATTCCCTCACATCCATTAGCCTTAAGTACCAGGGTTACTACTAAACAGAAACACATCTGTAAAGGTCTCTTTCCACTAAAACAGTCAGGGGCTTCACTTTGCTAGCCCTGACTTCTCTCTTGAGTTTCAGACCCACCTGCAACTGTCTACCGAAACCCTCTCGCTTACAGGCACCATCACAAGTCACCCTTGCCTTTTCGTTTCCTTATTACCAGCACCCCATTTGCCCCTACAATCATATTCAGTCCAGGAGCAAATCTGTGGCGCTACCTCTTCCTCATCCCTACTCTTCCCTATCACACTCCTTTGAGGGAAGGGGCGAGATCCTGCCCGTTGGCCATAACGCAAATGTCAGGTATGGAACTAAACATCTTTTAGTAACCCCACCCCCCACCGCCTCAGGATTAAGTGCAAGCTGCGGCGCTCTCGTACAGGCCTGTTTCTGACATTAGCCCTGTGCTCTTTTTTCTATGAGTTCCACCAACCCAGGCTGCTTTCCACTTACCGGCTACCTCCTCGGGCTCGGCTGCTGCGGTGGCCAGGGCGGCCAGACTCTCCCGCCGGCGGTGACGGGCTACCGCCGGAAAAGTCCGGTCGACGGTGGACTGCAGGAGCAGGTTCTGGGCTGAGACGCTCCTGCTTCACCACTACCGATGCCGCTGGCATTCCCAGGTCCCCGTCACGGTGCCTTCGCCGGCTCCCCCGCTCCCGTTCGCTCTTTACCTCCTTCATTCTAAGAGTTTGGCAGACCCTAAGAAAAATGGACCGTTCAGCACCGCTCACTAAAGGAAATGACGAATTAGAGCTCTGGATTTCCGTTTCCGGTGTGTGCGCCCTCCCAGCAGCCCTAGCGGTAGAGGCGGGACCATGCGACGCCCCTCCTTATGGGCGGGGCCGTAGTAAAGGTTGATGTGGTGGCGGGAGTTTTAAATTTCTCAATACAGAACTAGCCACTATCGGATTAGGGCGAGAGTTTTAAATTTCAAAAGCAAATTTCTAAACCGGGCGTGGTGGCTCACGCCTGTAATCCTAGCACTCAATCGTTGCGAGTTCAAGACCAGCCCGGGCTACAAAGTGAGCTCAAGGCCAGCCTGAATTGCATAGCGAGACCCCGTCTCAAAAAGACAAAAAGAAAAAAGAAGAAAATTTCTAGTACGACAGTGATAGCGTATCTCTAATTCTAGCACTCGGGAGCCTGAGGCAGAAAGATTGCGAATTCGAAGTCAGCTGGGCTACATAATGAGTTTAAGAACAATCTAATTTGCATAGTGAAACCCGGTCTCAACCAAAACAAGCACCACACAGTAGGGAATTCTTTATCCAATTAGTGGACCGTATGCGGCCGCTAGTGATGGTGTTTGCAAATTATATTGCAGGTGGAAAAGCCGACTTATTAACAATAAAATATATACCAAAAAAGGTGCTTAAACTGATACATTTAATTGTGGATCTAGTAAGAAACAAGAGAACTGCACATAGGTAGTAACTGAAATCAGTGTCTTTTTCCATTTCCTGAATTTTACACTATGTTGTCACTTATCCATTTATTATTTATTTACTTTTGAGACAAGGTCTTGCTAAGCTATCCAGGCTGACCTCGAACTCACTATCCTCCTAGCACGGTCCCTGACTACCTACCTGGACCCTGCCAGTTTCTACCACATCCCACTGCTGAGGTTACTGGTTCTGTAGCTGCTGGGCTCCATTTACACTTAGTTTGTTCATTCTTTTCTTTTTTAAAATTAATTTTATTGGTACATTAATTAATCAAATTAATTTAATATGTATTAGATATACATATTAATAATCTTCATCATACAGAATTTGTACTGATGCATATATTTTTATTCTTGTTTCTTTGTGTGTGTGTGTGTGTGTATGTGTGTGTGTGTGTGTTGAGACAAGGTTTCACTGTGCAGTCCAGACCAGCCTTGAACTCACTGTGTAGCCCAGGCTGTCCTAGAACTAACTCACAGAGATCTTCCTGCCTTAGCCTCCAAAGTGTTGGAATCACAGGTGGGCACCAGCAGGCCTGGCTTCTTTTCTTTTATTATTTTCATGTTGATTGAATTCAGGGCCTTTGGTACTAAGCCACATCCTTAAACCCCACTATGTTTATTTTGATTGTGCAAAATTGTACAAGCTGGATTCAAATTTGCATCCTTTTGCCTCAAGTCTCCCAGAGTGCTGAGGTTATAGACATTCGCCACCAAGTCAGGCTTCTACTATATTTGTATTTTTTTGTTTTTATTTTTGCTTTTTGAGACAAGGTCTTGCTATGTAGTTAAGGCTGCTCTCGAATTTGTGGCAACCCTCCTGCCTCATCCTCCCAGTGCTGGGATTACAGGAGTGCACCACCATGCCCGGTGGTACTAGTACATTTTAAAAGATACTTTTAAAACCTTGGAATATAGAATGCCTTCCTTGGGTAATCGTTCACAACCTTCCTCTGAGAAGTTGGAAAATGACTCCTAATTTAGAGGTGAAAAAACTGAGGTTCATCAGTGATCTGTTCACTCCGTCCAACGTGCCAAGTAGACCTAGACACAGAGATTCGAATCTCTGATTTCCTCGCTTCCAAGAGTACCAGGGCCACCACCGTTTGACCCAGGAAGAGGCATGTGAAGCCAAGCCTCAGAGTTTTTGGTATAGGCTAAGTAAAACGAAACCCAAACGCTGCTGGCCCCGCTCTTCTCCGAAGCCCCGCCCCAGCCAGGGGGCTGGGAGGGAGGGTTTCCATGGTGACGAGAAACAAGGCCAGGATTAGAGCGGCTGCTCTTGAGCTGCTACCCCTACAGCGCCATGATCCCCCCCGCAGACTCTCTGCTCAAGTATGACACGCCCGTGTTAGTGAGCCGGAACACGGAAAAACGGAGCCCCAAGGTAAGGACTGGTCTCAAAGGGGTGCTTCAGATCCCCAGGCTGAAGATCAGAAATCCCAAAGGACGGGGATTGCAGCGACTGCCAATAAGGGGAATTGGGACCAGGAAGAAGAGTGAGAGAATTTACAGGCAGCCCAGATGTGGGGTGTGAGCAGAAAACAGATTTAGGATGGGAAGGAAGGCAGTTGCACAGAGATGGATGGAGCTCGCTGTTATTCATGGTACCTGGGTCCATCAGGCAGATTTACCGATCACTGGAGCAGGGAGAGCAAAGGCCTGACCACTCATGCCGGAAACACCCATTCAGGCTTTGAGTTGGGAGCAGAGATTCTTCCTTGGGCTTTTTTCTGCTCTTAGACATTTCTGCTGAGCAGACAGAAGGGGAAAGTAGTATGGGAATGGGGAGGAATGTGCAGAAGTCTCAGAGCAATCCAGAGGGCCAGGCTGTGTGGAGCTGTGTGCCTGATTCTTCTCTTGCCCTCACTTTTCTTTCTCAGGCTCGGCCACTGAAAGTCAGCCCCCAGCAGCCTGGACCCTCTGGTATAGTTCCACAGCCACCCAAAGCCAAACTGCCCTCAACTTCCTGTGTTCCAGATCCTACAAAGCAGGCAGAAGAAATCTTGAATGCCATCCTGCCCCCAAGGTAAAAAAAAAAAAAAAAAAACCAGGACCAGTGGCCTGGAGAAAGCACAGGGTTTTGCGCCTCAGAGTTAGGACTGTGGGAAAGCACTCTGCCTCTCATCCTGGCTGGGGTTTCCTTCCAGTTGCCCATAGCTTCTGGGGTTTTCATCTCTCTGGATCCTGGAAGGGTATCAGGAAACTTCAGTCTAGTCTCATTTCCTATGTATTTTCATCCAGTCTCATTGCCTTAGATGCTGTCTCTGTGTATTTCCAGCACTCTCCTTTCCCTAAATGTTAGTCTAGATCGTATGGTCTCCTCCTTCCTCAGTATCTTCACCAAGATGTCCAGGAGACAGTTCAATCCCACTATGCCCAAACTAAGCCATAATAATCTCTCCTGCAGCTGACTCACTCCAGACTTCTTCCCTCTCAGGACTTACGCTGCCTTTTTTGCTGTTGATCTGTCATATCTTGTGTCTTCTTTAACAAATTCTTTTGGCTCCCCCTTCAAATTGTCTCCCAAATCTAACCACTCTTCACCACTTCTGCCACTGCCATCTCACCCCCGGGTCACCTACACTCCTGTAGTGGCCTCCTGTCTGAAAACCCTGCTTGCACTCTGCTTGAACCATCTATTCTCCACACAGCTCCTTAATCAAGTCAGATTATGCCAGTCTTTTTCCAGAAACCTTGGGCAGTCGTCCCAGAAAACATAGCATCATTTGGCTATGTTCTGTCCCCAATCTGTTTGTTTGTTGTAGTGTTTTGATTTTTGTGACAGGGTCTCCCTGTGTAGCTCAGGCTGCCCTTGAATTCACCATGTAGCTCAGGCTCGCTTCAGACTCATGATGATCCTTCTGCCTCAGCCTCCTGCATGCTGGGATGACAGCATGTGCTGCCATGCCCAACTATACCCCTGATTTTATTAGTTGTTATTTCCCTTATTCACTGTGCTAAAGCCACAGTGCCCTCTGTTCATGGTTTTTGAAACACATGCATCACTCACCTATCACAGGGCCTTGAGGGTTGCCGTTCTTACTGCCAAGGATGCCATTCCCCCAATATTCTCTTGTCCCCTTCAGTTTTCCTCTCAGGTCTTCTGAAGTGTCATTTCTTCTAGGAAGCCTTCTTAAAGAATCCTGCATAAAAGAACCTTCCTCCTCAACACGATCCTTTTACCCAGCTTTTTGCTTCTGCTGCCACATTGATCATAGACACGCCTTTTCAACTTTTTTTTTTTTCCTTTCTTTCTTTCAACCGCTATTATGTAGTAGGTCTACAGCATAGCTTCCCCAGCTTCAATACTGGGGATTAAACCCAGGTTTTCACATGGAGCTAGATCCTCATTCCCTTTTATGTTTTATTTTGAGACAGGATCTTGCTAAGTTGCTAAGTTGCCAGGCTGGCCTTGAACTTGTGATCCGTCTGCCTCAGCTTTCCAGAGTAGTGGTATTGTAATCAGGCTTTGCCATCATGCTCAGCTGGCAGTTTTTGAAGGCTGTGATGAAAAAGGGAAACAGGCAGAAATAGGAGACTGTGATGTCCTCGGAGACAGAGGTCAGAGGAGGGGGTGATTTGTCAATTGCTTTCTTTCTACCAATGGCACAGAAGTCCTCTGTCCCATGAAGGGTCTGGCCCCAAACTCCCTGTTGCCATTCCAGGGCCTGCTATGTCCAACACAGGATTCATGATGGAAAGTCCACATAAGCATCCTGCCTTCAAGAACCTCCCCTGCCCCAACACATACATTGGTTTCTGGCTTAAATAGGGTTCATGGTGCCCTATATCTCTACCCCATAAGGAATTCCCACTAGGCCTTCTGTTCAGATCAAGCAGAATGACCACATATGTTAGAAGGATTTTTTTTTCCTTTTTATCAGTACCGGGGATCGAATTCATGACTGCCTGCTTGCAAGGCAGGCACTTATGCCACTGAGCTAAATCCCCAGCCCGTTAGGAGGATAAGAGCTGGAACAGTAAGTGGTTTCACAGAGGCTCCTTGTAGAGTAGATATCACCCACCTACGCATCCCTGAAGTAAGGTCTCTATGGGGGCAGCACAGTGGGCATGGCTTTGGAACCCACATTCCAAAGGAGAGAGAGAGGTTTCCAGGGGTGGTAGCCTAGGAGCCTCAGGCTGGGAGCTCAAAGGCCCTCTCAAGGCCATGTGTTCCACTCAGCCTGGCTGTGTCTGTGCTGCAGGGAGTGGGTAGAAGACACACAGCTATGGATCCAGCAGGTGTCCAGCACCCCCAGCACCAGGATGGACGTGGTGCACCTCCAGGAGCAGCTGGACTTGAAGCTGCAGCAGCGGCAAGCCAGGGAGACAGGCATCTGCCCTGTGCGCAGGGAGCTCTACTCGCAGTGTTTTGGTGAGTGGGAAACATGGGGTGGGCACTGTATGCCCTCCCAACTCCCTCCCTACCCCTTCAGCACCAAGTCTTGAATACTGCTGAGCAGAAGCCCACCCCATCCTGGAATGAGCTCTTGCCCCTCAGCCTGACCCACCCAGTTACTCTGCACCCCCACCCTTCTAGCTCTTACTCTCCCACTGCTGCAGAATCCAAGAGATCAGAGACCAATGGGGGAAAAGAAGGATTTATTTCCAGGACTTTAGATGCACACAGACCCAGATGAACTTGGATTTATTTCCAGGATTTTAGATGCACACAAACCTAGATGAACTTGCTGGGCATTAGAACAAAGGAAAGGTTCTAGTTTTACACATGTGGCCGAGGGGTTGGTCTTTAGCAGCTGGGGAAGGTGGGAAAAGGGTACAGAAACAAGACAAAGCAATTAATAACTTAGCCTTGAAAGAAGACAGAGTCTTATGAGTCTTGCGAGAACAAGATGACATAAACTCTGTTTACAGGAGAGTTGCCAATCTTCTCTGTACCAGAACAAGAAGTTATAGCTACAGGGGAGGAAGGGGGAAGGTGGAGGAAGACTGTTCTCTAAGTTCTGCTTCACCACCAGTCCCCTACCTGCCAGTCACTATGATCCTGACAACCTGGGATCCTTAACCTTTAGCAGATGTTTCAGGTAAGATAAGAACTTCCAATTCAAGTCTGTTTTTAATAAGATATCATTTTATAATAAGCATGTACCAATTTCTAATCAGAAAAAATAGTGTTCTGTATTTATACCCATCCATCAACATTCAGCCCTTGGTCCAGAATAGTATTGCAGAGTGATTTGTGGTTAGTTGGCAGACATTAGGGATTAAGATCTGCCTCCTTGGGGGCCGGGGGGGCCGGGGATTTAGCTCAGTGGCATAAATGCCTGCCTGGCAAGCACAAGGTCGTGAGTTCAATTCCCGGTACCAAAAAAAAAAAAAAAAAAAAAAAAAATCTGCCTCCTTGGGCCGAGGATTTAGCTCAGAGGCATAAGTGCCTGTCTGGCAAGTACTACATCATGAGTTCAATACCTGGTACAAAAAAAGGGGGTGGGGGGAGCTGGGATTTAGCTCAGCAGCATAAGCGCCTGCCTTGCAAGCGTGCAGTCGTGAATTCAATCCCTGGTACCGAAAAGAAAATCTGCCTCCTCTAGACCTGCCTCACTGGCCCTAGGCACCCCATCATCAATTTCAATATGATTGGGTTTGCCCTCTACATTGGCATTTATGGAGGGGAGAGGTAGGCAAGCTCTAAACCCTGCCGCTCTCAGTCCCAAGTCAGTTCAACCAAAGGAGTCATTTATTTTTAATTATTATTATTATTTTTTGGGGGGGGTACCAGGGATCAAACTTATGACCTAGCACTTACCAGGCAGGGGCTTATGCCGCTGAGCTATATCCCCAGTAGAAGTCACTTTTCAACAGCCACCATCTTCATATTGAGAAGTTCAGATTTCTCTACTAATGCCCAGATTCTGCCTGATGAAAGGGAAGGGGCCTACTGCTGTAAACAACATGCAGCCCTTGTCTCCCTATGCCATGGGCAACCCACACTTGCTGACTGCATGTCACTCCCAAGTGCCAAGCTCAGAGGAGTAGCCACATAGCCCAGCTTCTGGTCCAAAGAAGGTGCCCTCCCCGGATCCTTCCCATGTCTCCAAGGTCACGTCTCCAAGGGCACACCTTAGAGCCCTTCCCAAGAGGAAGGGTGGTTTACCATAGACAAAGTGCATGTCCCCTTCTCTCTGCTTTCTCGGATCCTGTGGCATGTGTATTGGAAGATGAGCTGATCCGGGAGGTCACCATCAACTGTGCAGAGAGGGGACTGTTACTGCTGCGCGTCCGGGATGAGATCCGCATGACCATCGCTGCCTACCAGACTTTGTATGAGAGCAGCGTGGCATTCGGCATGAGGAAGGCTCTACAGGCCGAACAGGGAAAGTCAGACATGGAGAGGAAAGTGAGTGGGGTTTACCAGGACCCTCTGGCCTTGAGGCTCTTCTATCAACCTCGGGGCCATATATTTGCCACTGTACTAGTGAATTCTGGCCCCTGGGTACCCGTTTTACATTGAGGCCCGGGCCCTGCACTACTCCAGTGAGGCCCCAGAGGTTACTAGTCTCGTGGTCTTGGCATGGTTGTCCCCTAAGAAAAGCTCCACTCTTGTCACTGACCTCCCTCTGGGTGGCAGTACAAACCCTGGCAATAGCAGGTTGGACAGCTGTTTCCCCAGTCCCCCCATCCCACCCCATCCACTTAGTGACATCCCAGGATCATGAGGCATTGTGACCTCAGATTGCAGATCTGGAGACAGAAAAAAAAGATCTGGAGAGGCAAGTGAATGAGCAGAAGGCAAAATGTGAAGCTACTGAGAAGAGGGAGACCGAGAGGCGACAGGTGGAGGAGAAGAAGCACAATGAGGAGATTCAGTTCTTAAAACGGACAAATCAGCAGTTGAAGGTAATGGAGATGCAGGTCCTGTGCCTGATCCAGCCCCAGCTTCACAGCCTCGACCGTTCATTCCTTTTCCACTGATTGCTTTTAAATGGTCTACAAGCACTGCCAAGGGGTACAGGAGGCTGATCGTGGGAAGAGATTCTCCATTCCTCCATCTCCAGCCTGTTCTCAACTCTGACGCTCCATGATCCGTAGGCAGTGAAGGACTTTCCTCCCAGATCCAGTCCTTGGAGCCTTCCTTCATGGGCAAGGTTTCCATGGCAGGCTTTGACAGAAGTATTTTCTCCTCCTATCCACTGAGTTACTGCGTCTGAGACAGTCAGTGGCTGGGCAGTGAAGGGCATTGAGAGGAAGGTTTTGAAATTGGTTAGTTGTTCCAGAGTGTGGTGGTTTTCCTCAAGAGCCCAGTTGCTGGTGGCATGCTTCTGTCTACCTGGCGTAGGAGGGAGGAGCTGAGGTAAAAAAGGCGGTATGGGCGAGAGGCCAGACCAAAGGTCTCTGCAACTCCATGCCATCACAAAGATCAGGCCTCTCACCAGCATCACCCTCATCACAGGCAACTTTGAAAAAATCCATTTCTGAAGCTGTTTGGGGGGGCACACCTGTAATCCCAACATTCCAGAGGTTGAGTCAAGAGGAACCCAAATTTGAGGCCAGCCTAGGCTACATAGTGAAGCCCTATCTCAAAAAACAAATTATTGGCCCATCTCAAATCTACTGAGCAGAAACTATGTAGTTGGTGTCTTATGATCCATCCCCTCTGCTCCCAATACTGAGGATTGGACCAAGAGCCTTTGCACCCCAATCTATCTTGACAACAAAGCCCCATTCTGGGGCTTGCTGAGATCTGAGCATCACTCTTCTACATACATGGCCTATGCATGTTGAACAGCTTTCTGCCATGGCTCTGGCCCTAGCCCACTGCCTAGTCTTAGAGGAAGGTTCCATTCTTGAGATTGCAGGCATGCTGGGTCTGCATATCAAAGGCCATCTGTTTGTGATGAGGCTTTGTATTAACTACCTCAGAGAATGACAAGAGATTTTCTTGCTGATGAAGAGCTTAACAGAAACAAGGAAAAGCTAGAAGCTTTCATAACCACATGCCTGCATTTACTTAGTCTCTGACACTGCTTCCCTCCTATAACCTTTCATCAGCCGCACTCCTGTTTCATAAGCCCAGGTTCCTCAGTTCCCCCAATAGTAGTTAGCTCTAAGAGCAAAACAATACCTTAGCACTGTCCTGATGTTCAAAAGCAACCTTGTAATCCCCAGGGTGGACTGTTTAGAGATGAGTTATTTTTATTGGTGCAAAGCAGCACTACAAATAAAACTTCTTGCACTCTCCAGAGGAGACTTACTTATGATAGTAAATTTTTGTACTGACTGCCACAGCACAGTAAATAACTCCCAAGTGTCTCAAGCTTTACTACAAGATAGACAGCTCCCTATTCACTGGTAGCAATTTTCTCTAATTGGGTGTCAAGTTGTCTCAGTGGCTGATAATTTGTTGTTTCCCAAACCTCCGGTTCCAGCAGTACCTTCAGGATCCTAACCCAGAAAGCCAAAGGTTTAACTTAGCAGACACATTCAGATCTGAAGTCTGAGCAATGAAAAACTGCTATTTCAACAACTTCTACTCAATTTCTTTTTCAACACTGTATTACACAGAACTATTATTGTATGGAAACCAGGACAGCTCTGGTTTCTCCTAATAGAGCAACACTGTATGCCAAGCCAGAAATCAGCTAACATAATACGGAGATAGGAATGAAAGTAGGAACACTTGGAGTGGCAGCATTTGGATTATTCTTTCAGACTTTTATCACCTCTCAGCTATTTGCTAGGCTGTAAGATTCAAGTATTAATGGAGTGTGTTTTTGTTTTTCAGGCCCAACTGGAAGGCATTATTGCACCAAAGAAGTGATAATTACCATATGAGCCTCAGTGAGCACTCCTACCCCATCATAAGCCCTTGTAATAAAAAGCTAGTTTCCTGAATGAACAAGGCAACCCCTCGCTGATCACCACCCATATACTTGTCAGGAATCACACTGTGGCCTTGGCTGCCAGACACCTAGTCTGGCTCCTAGCTGGGGTAATGGAAGGCAGTATAACTGTGCGTGTATGCAGCTTCAGGGGCAATCTGGAGACTTTTACCAATTCAACCCCAAGACTGAAGAAGCAACTGCTTTCCCAGCAACACTCAGTATCATTCACTTCTCACCAAAGCAGCTGCTGCTCTCAAGTTCTTGGTTCAGTCTATCTCATACCTTAACCTGGACTTCCCTGGCCCTTGTCCTTTCATTTTTCATATCTACTCAAATGCATTCTTTGGAGCTATGATTTTATATTGTATCATCTTGTCCCCATTCACTGTGTCAACTGGTTCCCTTTTTCCTTAGATGCAGACTGCCTAGATTGAGAAAATGTGGTACACAATTAAACCATGGCTTTGGAGAAAGTAAAATGCTTGCTGGAAAGACGTAGAAGTCCCAGTGTTCTTTGGTGCTGTCTGTACCTCAGCTCCTCCCTGACAACAGACATCATTTGTTCTTATTTTGGGGGAAAAAAAAAAAAATCAAACCCTGAGTCCACACCCTCCTAATTAGCCAAGTTTGGTTAGCAGTTGGAGAGGTAACATTTCGCATGTAGTTCTAATTATCAATGATCAGCTACCGCCTACAGACTTTTGTAGACTAAGAAGATTGAATTAGCAACATGAAACCTTTAACTCAGGACACACTGGGGTGGGCTAGGGCAGTAAGCTGACTCTCGTACATTATTCAGTCACATTTCCTAAGCACCATTCCTAAGAAGGAACTAACATTTCCATTTGTTTAGAATACCTGGAATGCTCAGTATTCTCTATGAGGACCTTGGCAGGACTTGGATGTGACACCGGTCCTCGTCAAGGCTTCCAGGCTGTTATTCCAGAACTCTCCCACAAGAGCTGTATTTGAAGTGAAATACACTCCAGTACTCCATCCTTAAACTGCAAGTCACAGCTTTGGTCAACTGTCCTGGGGAAACTCTCCAGTAACCTGCCTGTGCTGCTTTCTTCATGGGAAAGAACTGTTCCTTAGATTTGCTGGTTCCATGATCTGACAGTAAAACATCTGCGTCCAAGTGGGTCCCCTTAAATTCAATGAAAGGTAGTGAGCTGCTGTAGCTTTTCCTTCCTCTTTTTAAGCCTAGCCATGTATATTACTTGAACCACACTTCTTTTTACAGTGTCCCAAACTGCTACTTTCTGGTACGAAAAAAATAGCACACTGCATTCTGCAGACTTCGTTTCCCATTTCTGTCAATATACACACACAACAGGGCTACACTCCGGAGGAGTGTAAAGGTAGATTCAAGTGTTTGAAGTGGCACAGAACTCTTTAGGGTTGAGGGCTTTCTCTTTATTTTCACCAGCACTGGTGAATGGCTTCTGCTGTTAAACCTCAGAATAAACATAGGCCTTAGAAATGCCACCTTGGTATTAAGACAAAAAACATAATTTCTAATTGCATATTTTGGTATAATGAATAAACAATTCTTTACATGTTACTGCTTATGTCTGAATTTTTTTTGTTTGTGTTTCTGTCCTTCTGCGTCATTGGTCTTCTTTTTGTTCCGGTTCCTATTTTTCACATTGTGTGTTTCATAGTAACGTACACCAACTTTTTTGGATTGTTGCTGCCGTTCTGCTCGCCTTCGCTATAGAAAAACAGCAATAAAAACAAACATGAAAGAAAACAATCAACAGCTGAGAAGTCATAAAAAAAGAGCTGCTTCTCACCTCTCCTCCACTTCCTGTGCAACCACCACAGATACTGGAAGCAGAGCTAAGGGGAGAGGCTCCTTCAGACACCTGTTTACTACTCCATTGTGGCTGATGACTCAGTTACAGCCTCTCGTGTAATGTGTGGATGCTTTCTGCAATATTCCTGACAGAGTTCCCCTCCGAGAGAGCCCACACCAGCCCTGCAGAGCTGTCCGCAAGCTGCCTTTCACAGAACAGTGGTCAGCCTGCCTAGCCAGCTCTGCCTCTCAATGTCACTGACCTGGGGCCACACAAAACAACCTAACTCTCCCAGACGCTAGGCTAGAGCTGAGAAGACAGCAGGAATTTCTGAGTCACATGGACGTCTATCCAGCAGGTATTCTCTTAATCCTAATTAAATGCCCACCACTTAGGACACTGAAGACTGAGTTTCCTGGATTCAGACCCAAGACCATCCTTATTTCAGGAGGAGCCTTTGAGAATCAGGCTTCTACTTACTACACTTGGGTCTTATCTAAGAACCAAAATACTTTATGGACAATGACATAATATAGTAACCATTGTTCACTTTCTGTTCTTTTTTTTTTTTTTTTGGTCTTTTTCATTTTTATCGGTACCAGGGATTGAACTCACGACTGCCTGCTTGTAAGGCAGGTGCTTATGCCACTGAGCTAAATCCCCAGCCCCTTCACTTTCTGTTATTTGGTTCTGAATGCCCTGTAATACTTTCATTCTCTTTAATGGTTTTATATTATTTTGTAATGTTTGGTACTATTGTGTATGGAGGTATGCTCAACTATTTCAAGGAAAGACACATTATGGTAGCTACTGTTATATTGGCTTGTCTTGTGAAATACTGTGTTGCTTAAATTGTTCTGATCTGCTTTGTTATGTCCTCTTTTATCTTACTCTCTTTAAAATAAAAAATTAAAAAAAAAAAAAAAAAGAATCAAAATACTTACTTCCTTAGAGCTAAGTGTCCTTTGAGTTTTACTGGACTGTTCCTCTTCCCTCTGTGCCTTCCGCTTCCTTCCCTTTTTAGTTGTTGCTAGAGACAATGATTAAAAACACAGGAAAAAATGAACTTTCTATTTAAAAGTTTGTCCACAGCTGCAGATACAGCTCAGTGGTGCAGTGCCTGCCTGGCAAGCATGACACCGTGAGTCTGATCCCCAGTACCAAAAAAAAGTTTGCCTGCAAATCTTATGAAGGGGACACGTTTGTCAAAAAAAGAGGAAAGGCTGTATGAATGGAGAGAGTGAGCCAAGTGGAAAGGAAAGCAGCAGGAGAAGGCTGGGAGGGCACCAGATCAGAACAGAGCATACAGGGCATGGTAGTTTGTACTTGTGTCCCAGGAATACTCTCAGTGTAGAAGCTGTCACTCAAAAGAGTACAAGTTAAACACAGGAAATGCCTCTGCCTCAATTGTGCACTCATCCTTAGATTCTAAGGTTAACAAAGTATCATTTTTAAGAAGATTTCTGAACTGCCAACTTAATCCTAAAGAATGTGCACAGTGGAAATTACATAATCCAGTTTGTATGATTAGTAATAGGGGGAACCAGGATAATCCAGCAGATGTGGTAAATGTGTGGATGACAATACATGAGAGAAACTGGAAACTAAATTTAAGTCTCCTCAAGTTCTGAAGATGCAAACCACATCTAAACGATTTAAATAATTTATACTCACCTATTTCATTTACTTCTTCTTTACGTGGTTTTTTTTGTTCTTCAGATTTTGCAAAAACCTTTTCACTTAACCCTTTGCATATTCTGCAACAGAAAAAGCAAAATAATGAAGCTGTCCAACATTACTCTCAATTGTACCAGTCAGGATGACTTGGAGACCTCTCACACCCTCAAAGACAGACATTCCACTCCTATTTAGTTACCACTAGGGGGAAGAAGTCCAACATCCAACAGTTTTTGTAGCTTCCAAGGCATTTCTAAAATACTAGATAATTAAAAAGCTTTTCATATCCCAGGTGTAAGAATGTGACAAAATTTACAGATCACAACTGGCCTTGAGTTCACTTTGTAATCCAGGCTTCTCTGGAACCTGCAATGATCCTCCTGCCTTAGCCTTCTGAGTGCTGGGATTATAGGTTGCACCACCACGCCCAGCTCAGATCACTTTTTTTGAATCAGGGTCTTATTCTGTAATTTAGGCTGGCTCTGAACTCACTATATAGCCCAAACTGGTCATGAACTTGTGGTAATCTTCCTGTCTCAGCCTCCCAAGTGCTGGGATTACAGACATGTGCAACCATATCCAGCTCTTACAGATCACTTTTTAAAAACAATAACCTGGTTTAAAAAAAAAAACAAAAACAAAACCGCGCATGTTTGTGCAGAGCTCAGTGGGTAAGCACTCACCTGGCAGGCACAAGCCCTGCCCAATACTCAAGGCAAGTTTTAGGGAAAGGCACAAACTATATAAAATGATGAAACTTTACCTGACTGCTGAAAACTTTTTAGCTTTAGCTTTGTTTAAAAACTTCTGGTATTTTGCAATCTTCTCATCCAGGGCTTTAATCACTGCTTTGGTGTTGTTTCCCACTTGCTCTTCCTGGGACTCCTGATGAACCTCTTCACTGTCCTCATCTTCTGCTTGCTCCTGCTCCTGTTCCTCCTCACCAGCAGAAAAGCTCTCCAGCTCGTCTTCAATGTCTGACACCTCCACGGGTACCAGGTCATCCCCAGAAAACTGAGGCACGACATTGATTTTGCCAAAGTTCTGGCGAACCCGTGCAAGGATCTGTTGCATCTCAGAATTAGCACCACAGGGATGGTCCTCTTCTTTTTCTTTCTCAATGACAGATTCTGAACCTTTATCTATGGTCTCTACAGTTTTCTCCACGTTGTTCTGGGTTGCTCTGGTACCATCTTCCAAAGATGAGGAAGAAGGAAGCTATCAAAGCCAAGGAAGAGTATGTCAGGAGAGAAATGGAATCAGGAAAGAAAAACTGAATGCTTGAATTCACACCTTGCTCTTGAATAAGCAGTTCTCTACTTAGAACTAAGGGAAACATTCGGAGACATCTTGAAAGAAGAATGTAATACCAGCAGGGGAACTTCACGAACAAAGGATCAAATGAACAATCTGGGCTCAGAGATACCATGACTGGCTGGTCCTACATGCCATGCTTTTCACTGGTGCTTCCCATATGTATCAATCATTTCACATTTGCAATCCAGACTCACAGAAATGAAGTGATTTTTCCAAGTCAGGAGTACAAAGTAAGTTAGGTGTGATGCTGCACATCTGTGATCTTAGCACTCAAAAGGCAGAAGGGTGGAGAATGTGAAGCCTGCCTGAGCCACATACAGAGTTCAAGGCCAAACCTGCACTACTTAGTAAGACCTTATCTCAAAAACAGAGACTTCCAGGAAAATGGCAAAGAAAGAACCTCTCCCTCCAAGTTTTGGTGTCCACGCCCTGGAATATAAGCAACATGGAGAAGGTCAGAAGTGGGTCCCATGGACACAGGAAGGATCTGACCTGAGACTTCAAAGCCCATGGAGAGAAATAACTCAGGAATCCAGCAAAATTAAGAAAACCAGGGGCAGTGGCCCTGCTGGCCAGGGAGAAGCAGCAGGAAGCAGTGCAGGTCCCTCCCTGTGTGCTAGCAGGGAAGCAGCAGCTAGGAAGTTGTGCAGCACCCTGTGTGCTGCCGGCCAGGGAGAACTAGTAAGGAAGCCACATTCACCTCCCTGTGTCCTCCCCACATAAACAACTAGATGCAACACAGGCTAAGATGGTAATAACTAGCAACTTCCCTATTTGTGTTGTCTTACTAACTGTGCAAACCTGGGGCCAGTAGTCTGAACAACTACTTATTTATTTATTGGTACTGGGGATCAAACTCAAGCCCTTGTGCTTGCGGAGCAGGCACTTATGCCACTGAGCTAAATTCCTGGCCCTGGGCAACTATTTAGAGGATAACAATGTGCAACATAGTAATGACTCGACTTTCTACTGTACTATCACTGTTTTCTTTCATTTTACTCTTCTGTTTTATTCTAAAAGGGGAAAAAAAAAAAAAAAAAGCAAACCAAACAAACAAACAAACGACCAGGTAAAAGTACCAGCTAAAACGACGCTGAACAAGTCAGGAATCTGTAACATCCAGGAAACTACATACAAATTTGTAAATCTTCCAGTAAAACAATTTTTAGTTTTTAGACTTTCAAGAGGTATCACTCTAATCAACTAAAACAGAAAGCAAGCAACCAAAACAGAGGGGAAGAGAGAAAAGAAAAAAAGAGAGAGAAACTGAGACTCAAAGAGGTTTTGTTTTTTGTTTTTTTTTTTTTTTTGTGCTGGGGACCAAACTCACAACCTCGTGTTTTTCAAGCAGGCACTTATGCCACTGAGCTGAACCCCCAGCCCTGGATTTTTTTTAAAATACAGGATCTTGCTGTATTTGAATAGTTGAGTGGCCTCGAAATCACAGTGACCCTCCAGCCTCAGCCTCCTGAGTGCTGGGATTATTGGTGTGCACCACCATGCCTGGCTAATAATTCTTAAGAATTACCTGAATTATCTAAACTTAATGACTAGATGTGGAAGAAGAGTTGAAGGTAATCTCAGTGTTTCACACATGCGTCACAAGAGAACAGTGATACTGATTCCAGAACAATGTTTGGGTCCAGTTAACTCAAACTCCTCAATGGCTTCCTGTCCATCTTCCTCCCCTTCTGTTCTGTATCCAACCAGTGACATCTCTTCAGTACTCTGAACACAATAAACACACTCCACATCGGTGCTCTGCATGGAA